GAGACTAACAGAAGTATTGGGAGCATAAGCTTTCGTGGGCAAAGACCTCACTTTTTTCGATGCAAGAAGTGAGGTTCTTACCCATGAAAGCTTATGCTCCCAATACTTCTGTTAGTCTCAAAGGTGCCACAGGAACCTCTGTTGCTTATCAAAATATTGCAAGTCATCTTTCACCGTCTCAGCAACACCGAGAAACAATAAGCATCATCAGCCCTGGGTCTGATCCTGCAGCATCCTGAGTGCTACCCTCAACACATCAGCTTCAATAGCCCCCAAGGGCACTCAGAAGCTATAAAGATTGGGCTCCAATTTTTAGCTCATTTTCTTGTTTGTATGGGTTTATGTCAGACTTTTAATGATTTAAGTTTAACAGAGTATTTTGCATTAGTGCTCCACTAGAAATCAAAGGCTGAAAACTATAGAATACTCAAAACACAGAAATGCTGGGCTGGAAGGGACCTTGAAAAGTCATCGAGTCCAGCCCCCTGCACCAATGCAGGACCAAGTAACCCTAGAAAAACCCTGCCAGGTGTTTGTCCAACCTGTTCTTAAAAACCTTCAGTGATGGAGATTCCACAGCCTCCCTTGGAAGCCTGTTCCAAAGCTTAACTACCCTTATACAGTCATTAGAAAGGTTTTCTAAATATCTAACCTAAATCTCTCTTGCTGCAGATTAAGCCCATTACTTCTTGTCCTACAGCCAGTGGACATAGAAAACATTTGATAGCAGCCCTTCACATGCTTGAAAACTTATCATCAAGTCCCCCATCAGGCTTCTTTTCTCAAGTCTAAAGCTGCCCAGTTTGTGTTTTTTACAATCTTTCCCCATAGGTCAGGATTGCTAAATCTTTTATCATTTTTGTTGCTCTCCTCTGGACTCTCTCCAATTTATTCACATCTTTCCTGAAGTCTGACACCCAGAATTGGACACAGTACTCCAGCTATTGACTTACTAGTGCCGAGTAAAGTGGGACAATTATCTCATGTGTGCTACATACAACACTCCTATTAATAAACTTCAGAACATTTAGCCTTTTTAGCAATAGCATCACATTTATCATGTTATTATTTCCCAGTTATTTCCCATTTTGTAGCTGTACATTCGATTTTTCCTTCTTAAGTGTAGAATTTTCCACTTGTCTTTATTGAATTTCATCTTGTTGCTTTCAGACCAATTCTCCAATTTCTCAAGATCATTTTGAATTATCCCCCTCCAGCTTGGTGTCACCTGCAATTTTTATAGGCACAGTCTCCACTCCATTACCCAAGTACCAGGACTGACCCCTGCAGGACCCCACTAAATACCCCTGCCCCCAGTTTGATAGCAAATCATTGATAATTACGCTGAATATGTTTTTTTTCAACCAGTTGCGCACCCACCTTGTCAATTTCATTTAGACCACATTTCCTTGTTTGCTTAGAAGAATGTCATGTGGGACAGTGCAGAAGCCTTACTAAAATCAAGATATATCATGGCTAAGGCTATGTTTTAGTCACGGGTATTTTTAGTAAAAGTCATGGACAGGTCAAGGGCAATAAAAAAAAAAAGTCATGGCCCCGTGACCTGTCCATGACTTTTATTAAAAATACCTGTGACTAAATCTTACCTGCTGGGAGGAGGGCGCTCCTGAAGATGACTACTGCTGGGCGGGGGACCTGCTGCCTGGGTAGAGTGACCAGACAGCAAGTGTGAAAAATCGGGACAAGGGGTGGGAGGTTATAGGAGCCTATATATAAAAAAGCCCCAAATATCGGGACTGTCCCTATAAAATCGGGACATCTGGTCACCCTATGTCTGGGGCTGCCAGAGCAGCAGCCGATGTGGCTGGCCCCTGGGCTTCCCCAGCTGCTGGGGTGGTCCTGGGGTCAGCTGCAGCAGCGCTGCAAAATTCACGGAGGTAACGGAAAATCACAGAAGTCACGGCCTTAATCAGTTCTACAGCTTCCCCCCATCCACTAGGTCTGATAGAGAAGGAAATTCCTTATAATCCTATTATCCACTGGGTGCTTACAAACTGATCATTTAATAAATTTGTCCCAGTATCTTTCCAGGTATTGAAGTTAGGCTGACTGGTCTATAATTCCCCAGGTCCTCTTTGTTCCCCTTTTTAAAGAGAGTTACTGTGTTTGCTCTTCTCTGATCTTCTGGGACCTTACCAGTCCTTCATGAGTTCTCAAAGATAATTGCTAGCAGTTTTGAGATTGCTTGAGCTAGTTCCTTAGTTACCCTAGGATGGATTTCATCAGGTCCTGCCAACTCAAATACTTGCAATTTACCTAAATATTCTTTATCCTATTTTGGCTTGTGTTCCTTCCTCCCTTGTTGCTAATATTAATTGTGTTGAATATCTGGTCACCATTAACCTTTTTTAGTGAAGACTGAAGCAAATAGGCATTAAATACTTATGCAGGCTCTTACCTCAATGTCTTATATGACATTGGCCACTGTTGGAAGACAGGATACTGGGCTAGATGGACCTTTGGTCTCATCCAGTATGGACGTTCTTATGTTCACTTATTAGAGATCAAACAGTTGCATAGACTCCTGTCTCTCAAAAAATGCAATACTCAAAGATTCTGCTGAGTTTGAATATAACAGGCCAAGTTCAGACCTGGAATGGGTGGGTAAAACTCCATTTAAGCCAGTGGAGCTGCACAGGCTTGCAGGGGTCTGAATTTGGCTCATGGACTGCAATCCTTGTTTTGTAGCAGTGATGATAGAGCTGCTATATAAAGAATACCAATGGTAAAAACATAATAAACCACTGATATGCATTGTTAGGTCACTGCTGAAGAAGGGCTAGGCAAGACATTTCATAAATATATGAAAGCACTCGTGTGGATTTTTTAAACTCTACCAGGCATACAGGTTCCAACATGTATGGTTAAAATTGTTTTTGGCCCCAGTCAGATTATTTAACCCAAGAATTCCTGTACAAGCCTGATTGCTCCAAGTCATTTATTGAGATTTGTGTGTCCTTGGGTGAACTCACTCCTAGGGTGACCAGGTAGCAAGTGTGAAGTATTGGGACACTTTTTTTGGAGGTATAGTTGCGTATGTAAGACAAAGCCCCTATTATCGGGATGTCTGGTCACCCTACTCACTTGAGATGTGCTTACATAGTGGCATCATGACCTGAGATTCTAGGGTTAACCACAGCTGTAAAAAATTTATGGGTTCCCAATGACCTCGTGAACTAGTGGGCTGCCCTACATCACTACCCAATTGTCTACATGGGATGGAGCTGCAGTCTGACATACAACTCTACTCAGCACATATTGAGGTCATTTACAGACTCAGCAAAGTTGATTTAAAAGGTATTCTGAAATGCTTGTTTATTGAAGCTGCCACGACCACTAGGGACCAGTGAAAGTTGTTGTACCACAATGTGTACTGGCGTCAGGCAGACAACCAAACAGGATGCTGCCACAGGAATCAGGATATTCTAAACTTCTAAAGAGTTGGAATCCTCACAGATCAGAGGACTGCTGAAAGACTGTTGGGGTGAGTTTGGGAGCAGAAAAAGTGGGGTACACCCCACTTTGGGGAGGCATAAGACCCTCAAGGTAAGTTTTCCTTTTTTGTTGGGTTTATGTAGATAAAAGGCCCAGATATTGCATAGGGTTTTCTTCCTAGCTGAGATGCAAAATTTTGCCTTGTCCTCCATAAAATTACACTAATTTTCACTGAAATTATATAATCTTCACCACCACCAAGGAAGAACAGCTTGGTTCTGGCTGTAAGCCTCTTAACCAACATATCACCTACCTAGCCATTTGCTTGTAGGCTTCTTCTGCCACTGCAAAGATGTGAGGATCCATGTCCCCCATGTTTTGGCCACTGTATGCGTAGATGACATCTTGTTCATAGATTGGCAGTTGTTCGTATGGGTTAATGGCAACAAGCACAATACCTAAAGAAAACCAGACAAACATGCAGACATTAGAATTAAAACCAAGTCACAATAGTTTAACACCTTTTTGTAAATATACGGAGATTCAAAAAATGCACAGAAAAAAGGGTCCGGGTTCTTTACATCAGCTTTTCTTTGAATCTTGTAGAAATGGCTAATGCACTGGTGGAAAGAACAGCTCACATTAAGCTATGGAAGAGGAGCATAAAATATATGACCTGAATATAAGTCCGTCATATGAAGTAGGCCCTTTGGGCATTTCCCGCCCCCAAAAAGTTGAAAGATGCTGCTGTGGATAAGCCATATCCACATAATTGAACATCCACTGGACTCAAAATATTTTGGTTACTGGACTTCAGATGAAAATGCAAAACCATAAGATTAACAGAAATTAAATGCACAAATCATGTTGAAGGAACATGAAAGATCTGAATTAAAAATCTTTAAAAAAGTCCTCTTTTCCTTCCTGTAGAAAATCCAGACTGCTCACTTCATCATAAAGTCACACCATTGGGCTTAGGAACCGCAGCCACGCAAAAACATGGCACCCCACCCCAGCCTGTCATCTTCTCCATGTTGGGAGCATGGGGGGAGATATCAATCAATCCATGGGATCCCCATGAATTCGGGAGGGTTGTCTGCATGGTTCAGAGAGTATGTGTGCTGCACCAGCTACTGACAACAGCATGAAAGGAGGATAGCATCAGAAGCCTTCCTCTAAATACGTTCTGGGTTTGTGGGCTTAAATCAGACACTAATGTTATTTTAACCTGCTGTAGGAGGAGTGTGGTCTGGTGGCTACAGGTAGAGACAGGAGGACAGCTTAACCTTGAATTTTAAATATTCCCAATTGATGTTAAGTTGTTAAAGCTAAGAATGCAATAAACCAAACTCGATTTTCAAGTTCAAGCCTGTAGGTCCATTACAGACAGACAATTTAATTAAATAGAAGACCCTGGATGGCACTTTGAATGATAGAACCAAACTTCCAGAGAAAATTATTAATTAAGCAAACAGGCATACAATTATCATTTACACAGGTACTACAATTATACTCACTTTCAAAGACGGAAGAGCTTATCAATGGGTGATCAGCCCACTGACAAGAGAATGAAGTATAGTTTATAATCCTGTAACCTAACGGTATCCTTTTGGTGTTAATTGGAGATCTCTTGCAATTTAGCAAGGCTACTCTTTTTATAATCCATTATAATACTAATTAACATTAAACATACCCATTACCATATTCACATTTCCTCCATCTCTTTATTGGCTCTTTACAACACACATTATTTAAATTAACATTTGTATCAATGTCCTTCTCCTGCTATCAATATAGATAGCGGTTTAATAACACATTCCAAATTCTCAAAAAAACACTCATAAAAAACCCTGCTAAAACCAAACCCAGGGTTACGTCCTTGCTAACTTCAATTTTCCCATCTTACGGTCTCCGACTTCTCTCTCTAACTTTTGCTCATACCAACGAGCTCAATTTCTCACTCCTCTATACTTAGGCCAAAGTCTATTTTCTATTTATTTCTTAACCTAACACCTTTTGTAGGCTGCAATAGGACACCTGGGTTCTACTCCTACTTCTGCTACTGACCGCTCTGCACCTCAGTCACTCTAATCGTTAAGACAGGTATTACATTATCAGCTCCACAGAGGCGTTGTGTGGCTTAATTAATTAATACAATAAAAGCTTTGTTATCTGGCATGTTGGTAGAATGGGGGGGGGGGTGCCAGGAAGTCAAAATTCCGGTTAACCAAGAGGGAGGGAGTTTGGGTGCAGGAGGGCACTTGGGGTAGGAGGTTGGGGTGCAAGAGGGGTTTTGGGGTGCTGGATCAAGGAAGCACTCACCTTGGGTGGCTCCCCGGAAATGGTGACATGTCTCTGTTGCTCCTAGGTGGAGGCGCAGCCAGGCGGGCTCCAACGCACTGCCTCCACTCACAGGCGCCGCCCCCGCAGCTCCCATTGGCCGTGGTTCCCAGCCAATGGGAGCTGCGGAGCCAGCGCTCAAGGTGGGGGTAATGCATGAAGCCCCTGTAGCCATTCCTCTGCCTAGGAGCAGTAGGGACATGTTGCTGCTTCCAGGGAATGATGCAGAGCCAGGTAGGGAGCCTGCCGGCCCTGCACCAACTGGACTTTTAATGGCTATCAGAAATGCCAGTTCCTAGAGCTTTCCAGTTGGTACAGTGCTGGCTAACACAGCTTTTACTGTATATGGTAAAATCCTCAGATCAGAGGAGCTATGTAAATATTAGATTGTTATAAAAAGATTAATATTAATTTCTTATATGCCAATACTGAACAGTGCAAAAAAATCCCCTGATGCAGATGTATTGTAATACTCACCACAGTAGGTATAGATGTGATTCGATTCCAAGAATCTGACTTTTAAATTATGTAGGACAGCAGGCTCATGGAGATAACTTAGAGCTGTCAGGTCATTTTCGCCCACCAAAATATCTGGATTACGCAAGAAGGGCAGTTGGTTGGTTTTGAGATCAACTGGATAGTCACAGATCTGAAGTAATACAAATTGCACACAAAAAACAGTTAAATAGTAAGAACCATCTTGTTTCTTTCTTTCTTTCTTTCTTTTTTTTAAACTCATGTAGGGATAATTCTGCCCTCAAAAGATTATTTGTATTACATTAGCATCTAGAGGCCCCAACCAGAATCCAAGCCCCATTGATAGATAGAATCCAAGCCCAGATAGAATGTGCACATATTGCCTACTGAAGTGAACAGGAGTTCTATGCATCCACAGCGGTCACCCCTTTAAAAAATATTTGCAATTATTTGTGGATAACTAAACAGTATTGCTTTCGTATTTCCTGTATTCCCTGGGGATTTCCCAGTGCTGAATAAGGGCAAATACTTTGGACATTGCACAAAAGACAACATCCACTGCTGAGGGGTGAATTTCACCCTTGTTGACTAAGGGTACATCTACACTACAGGGGGGAGTCGATTGAAGATACGCAAATTCAGCTACGTGAATAGCGTAGCTGAATTCGACGTATCGCAGCCGACTTACCCCGCTGTGAGGACGGCGGCAAAATCGACTTCTGTGGCTTCCTGTCGACGGCGCTTACTCCCACCTCCGCTGGTGGAGTAAGAGCGTTGATTCGGGGATCGATTGTCGCGTCCCGATGGGACGTGATAAATCGATCCCCGAGAGGTCGATTTCTACCCGCCGATTCAGGCGGGTAGTGTAGACCTAGCCTTAGTGTATCTACTCTCACTGTCTAAAGCAAACCCAGGAAGTGTTTCGGGGTGACCAAGGAAGGAGATGGCACAAGCTACCTCAAAGTGTTAGTAACACACAGCACCATATACCAAAAACCGTAAAAGCATAAATGAATCCAACATGTGCAGCTTTATTTATTCTCCTTTAAGGTCAGCCAGAGTCACGGAATCCAGAGTTCTTCCCTTTGACAAAGTTATTTGTTGACTTTTTTTTTAATTAAAGTCAAACACATTATGCTCTATACTCCCGTCAATCTCTTCTGACAATGGGGAAAGGATGCAAAGGAGCAAACACAGGAGCACTGTAGACTTACGTGAGGAACATGGTGATGGCATTAAAATATACGGCTCACTATATGCTAAAGAGTTTTGGCTCACCCCCAACTGAACAGCAGAGCCACTGATTAGAATCAACATGACTTTTTCCCCTTTATCTGTAAATACCTTTGTCAACTCCCCTGTGGGCACTTCCACTGTCAGACACTTAGAGACAGGAGATGGTTTGGGAAGTTTCCAGTTTGGTATTTACTGGATACATTTAACATTTGTTTATACTTCAGATGAATTATGTTCCTGTCCCCTGAACACTCTGATAGTAAGTTCCTCCAGCAATAGAGAAACCCTGCTTGTGAAAGCAGAAAGAGGCAGGTGAGAATTCCCATGCTATTCATTTTATCCAACAAGTTGTTTGGTTTAGTTAGAGAGGCACGTACTGGAAAGAGTGAATACATCAGCAATGGTACAACAGATAGTGCCTAGAGCAGAGGAGACGTAGGCAGGTGATATGTGGGTGATATATGCATGAATACTAGGCGGGGAAAAGCATACCATGGCCATTCATTGCCAACTGTGTCAAGTATGTTCTGCTCATTTGCCTCTTGGACAATCTAACAAACAGCGCCAATTAATATTTTGGCAGCTAACGGATGCTTATGGAGGAGGAGTTCATTTTTCACTCCTCAAAAGACATGCTGACACTGCCATGTTTCAGGCCTTCAGTTCCTCAGCCAATAGCGTGGAATATTTAGCAGGGATTCTCTTGAAGTGATGTGACAAACTGAAGCCTTCATGTTGCCACTGCCTTGACTCCTCATCCGCTGAAGCCTTTACCCTCCCTTTCACCCCTCTCTCACCTTGATGGCTGCAGAGAGCCTCCTCTATGGACTCCTTAATTCCTCCCTGCCCAGATCTCCGCATGTGCATCAGATTTAACACATGGCCATTATTCCCACATTCAAAACTATCATAAAAGATCAGGGCCCTCAATGTGCTAAGCAATGTCCAGACATGTAACAAAGAGGATAGTCCTTGCTGTCAAGGATCACAACCTAAACGGGAGACAGGACTGAAGAGGAGGACAAAACAGTCAAATAGGACAGTAGAATGAAGAAACCAAAAAACAACAACAACAACAAAAACCCAAACCCAACTTCATCACTCATTTTAGGTTCCAATTAAAAATTGTCCTCTCAAACCAGGGCTTTGGAGCGGAGCCCGGAGCTGGAGCGCGGAGCAGCGGAGCTGCAGGCTTTTGCCTGGAGCTGGAGCAGAGCCGGAGCACAGCTCCAAAGCCCTGTCTCAAACTCAAAGGAACGGTGCCATCCTGCCTCAGACGTTGCTCCTCTTCCTTGCCCATCGATTAATGCTGCTTCCTCTGTCCCTTCCAACCATCTTGCCATTGCTGGTGCAAAACCCTTCTCCTCAAACATCTTCCTCCTAGCTCTCCTCACTTTCCTAACTGATCCTCCACAGCTTCTTCCTCTGAGACAGCTTGGTATTGTTCTTTCAGTTCTGTACTGATGCCACTTAAGCTTTACACGCTAAAACCCTTTTTGTATAAAACATACTGCGGAAATGAAGCTGTGTTTCACATTCAGAGTTACTATTCCAACTGCCATCAGAAACAAAGCTTCAACACAGATGAGAAAACGCTCAGCTTTTGGCCAGGGTGGTGCCATAAGCCAAGTAAATCACCACACAAGAGTTTGAAGTCTTGACTCCCCCAACCCCCAAGAGGTCCCAGCCAAGACTGGAACCCCATTATGCTCAACTAAAAGACAATCCCTGCCCCGAAGAGTTTACTAGCTAAATAGACAAGACAGACAAAAGGTGGGAAGAAAACCAGAAGCACAGAGAGATGAAGTAATTTGCCCAGCATCACACAGCAGGTCAGTGGTAGAGATGGGAACGGAGCCTGGTCTCCCAAGCCCCAACCCATTATCCTATCCAGTAGGCCATGCTGTCTCTTTCGGATATGTAGGAGTGGCATCACCCATGCAGCATACAGACTGAGTTCTTCCACTCCTGAGAGAATCTCAATGAAGTTTGACCTTTACAAAAATCTTTACTGCTGCAACTGAGTTCCGTGCGATAATCCCCACAGTCCTGCATTAGGATTTTTGAGAGCCTAGGATTCCCATGGAGTATGTAACACTGAGTTCATCACTCCAGAAAGAGATTTGTGATAGACACAAGCAGCCAGGAACAGGCCTGCTGGAACCATAAATCCATGAAAATTCACTTAGATGAAAAGGATAAGAAAAAGGAGCTAGTAACAACAACAGCGGAGACATTTCAACTGTCAGGAACCAAAAGCTTTCAATTCCCTGAAAGAGATCCTGATGTTCATGTTACCTTCATTTGATGCATGTGTGTGTCACTCCATGCTAATCTAAAGTTTATCAGACCAACATGCACGCATCACACTCAGCAGGGACTTCATAAGAATGGCCTAAACAATAAAAACAAACTGCACAGGAAAAATATTAAAAGGGGGAAAAAATCCAGCCATATAAATCTGTCTTTTTTAAAAATGAACGGAGCCTTTATTCACTTTAGAAGCCAACTTGGCTGTGTAGCTATGGCTCTGAAGGATATGACAGACATGTCACTAACTGAAAACCTACAGTAAATTGAACGGTCACAAAATCGCCTAAAGGACAGATTTCCATTTAACAACATAAAATAACTGTGGAATAAAAACCCCAAGACTTAGTCCAGCTCTAACAAACTACTTCATTTTGGCACAGGTGGCCCTGAATGTTATCTATCAGAATGACAGGAGCGGAGTTGAACTTTTATCATGCCATATTTCAGGTATGGACTGTTCATTCTACTCCATTTATGAGACCTGTACCAGTAGGAAACAGCTATCAACACCTGTTAAGAGCAGAAAACAGACCTTTAGAACGTAACCAGTCTTTTCTAAAGGAAGATGCGTTAATTGCAAAGCAGCATCACAGGGGAAACACACTAAATCTGACAGCGTGAATCCAAAGATGAATGTGTCCATCTAACAAACACTTAAGGTATCTTAATGGTTTTATATCAAATAAACTCTGTCATAATATTGAAATGACTCATTCCTTTATGTCCTGGCAACAGCATCTATGCAGTTTCCACAACATACAATAGCAAGCAGTCTTCTGACCTTCCCTTCTTTACCACCACTACCACCAGCCAGAGATACATCACCCAGAATTGGCAGGACTCACCCTGGCTGTTTCTATCAGGTTCACCTGATCACTGAAAGTTTTGAAGTGTTAAGTTTGCTTTGGAAATTCCCACAAAACCCAAGAGGGGGAAATAACTACATAGAATTTGAAATAGTGATGAATGTTACCGGACTGACAGCACCGGAGGCTTCACATACAGCAGAGACTGTGGCCGTGCAAGCTTCACCCACACAGCCCCATTCCCTGATCTAGAGGGAGAACTCCAGGAGGTAAAAGGATAGCCAGCCAATCAAGCCAGTTAGTGCCAGTTGTGAGATGGGCAACAAGAACTGAGCCAAGACCACATGCTCATTTCACATCGGTCACCTAATTCCTTGCTAGGATACGAGCACTATCCTGAATTATTGGGCTCGCTGTTCTTCACGGAAGCCTTGTTTGATTGTCTCAGAAGCAGAAGAGAGGTAACTGATTATGGAAATAAAGGAATCCACAGCTGGCAGTAAAGCAGAAAGAAAGTTTCCTGCTCACTCTCTCGGTAGTATGCTGTAAGGGCAGGCAGCTCTGTGGGATGATCAGGGAGAGGAATGTGTGTGTATTATTGGGAAAGAGCACAGGCACTGGACTATTATTCTAAGGACATCGCATTTGCAGAGAGGAGAAAGATGAGTTCCAATGGGGGCCTCAGATAAAGGAGTAGGCTGGCAAACCTGGAACACATTTATACTAAAGAGACACCTAAGTTTTGCACATGAATGTTAATCACATCACTGGATTTCATTACTTGTTAGCAGTGGGAGAGAAGAGTGAGAGTGTCTAACAGCTGGTCAGGCTGGCAGCTCCAAGGCTGGCTCTATGTTCTGGAGTTTTGCTGAGAGTCAGACACCAGGGAGTAGGGGCAGGCTCCAGCAGATGTCCAGAACTAGGGCTCTACCAAATTCATGGCCATGAAAAAAGCATCACGGAGCATGAAATCAGACCTCCCCACTGAAATCTACCTATTGGAGAGGAGCGGGAGGGGGACAAAGAATGCGAGGAGGTCCAGTGGAGTGGCACATATTTATGGATGGCCCTTGGAAGATTAACAACCACGGGAGAAGACTATCAAGCTGCGCAAATGAATGTGTCCCCAGTCTCCTCACTCAGTTCCAAGGTGTGTTATGTTGCTTTCCCAGTGACATTGGCACTCTGACATACTGCTACTGGCCACCCTGCTTATACTGAACCCAAAAGAAGAATTGTTTTCATAACAGTCTAATCAAGCATCTCTCATTCCTGCTCCCCAGCTGCCTGTTCAGTAAGAGGATAACACACTATGTGCCAGTGTGAAACCGGTTCATTGGCAGGAGCTGTGAATTATTCACACAGCCCTTGGAGCATTTTCAGTTTGGGGAAGCCGTGTCTGTTAACTGTTCTAGTAACACAGCAGATCGTCCCCTGGACAATTAAAAAAAATTGCCTGCTCAATGGAAAAACCAATTTAGATGAAGCAGTTCATGAAAAATATATTTCTTGGCACGATTATACGAGTCACACAGATTGTAGGCTGTGCAGCTCTGTTAAAACATGGTGCTGAAAGCAGTAAGGTCAAGCTGGCTTATTAGGGAATTTAGTTCCTTTAATGTTCCTCAACAGAACATCAATCTAACTGGAGTGCGCTGGTAGTTTCAATAGCACTTGGTCTTTGTAACAAAAGAGTGTCAGTAGAGCTGACTCTGGGCGTTCAGAGATGACAAGTGG